CAACTTAAATTTTATTTTTCAATTACAAAATTTAACAAATTTATATCCATAAGAGGGCGTTAAATGCATAAATATGAAAATATATTCTTAGGAAACCAGAATAAATATTGGATAGCGTTTTTTTTGTATTTCGGTGTAAATACATGTGAAAAACTTAAAAATTTATTTAAAAATAGAGGTTTCTTTGACATTTAATTAATGAGTAGGTTTAGAATCCAAAAATAGTAGAAAGTTTGTAAGGAACATATTGCTGGCGTTATTGATCAAAATCTCTTCATTTTTGGTTTATACGTGTATATTTAGGTGTTAAACATTATCCTAAAAAATATTTTGAAAATATTATGATTCGACCGAATGCCGAGCTCAAAACCGACCACTTACTAAATATTAGATCGACCAAATTTGGTAGTAACATTATTTGGAAAATGATCATTTTTGGTTTATTTATCTATATATACGTGTAAATCATTATCCCAAAAAATATTTTAAAAATATCGTTATTTGATAGATAACCGATTTGAAACCGAAATACTGCATTGCTGGCGTTATCCATGGAAAATTCTTAATTTTTGGGTTATACGTGAACAATAACGTGTTAAGCATTATCCTAATTAATTTTTTGAAAATATTATGATTTGACCGAATAGCGAGCTCAAAACCAACTACTTACTAAATATTTGATCGACCAAATTTGGTAGTAATTTTATTTGGAAAATGTTCATTTTTGGTTTATTTATCTATGAATAGGTGTAAAACATTACCCCAAAAAATATTTTTAAAATATCGTGATTAGACCGATAACCGTTTTGAAACCGAAATACTGCATTGTTGGCGTTATCCATGGAAAATTCTTCATTTTTGGTTTATACGTGTACAATAACGTGGTAAGCATTCTCCTGAAAATATTATGATTTGACCGAATGCCGAGCTCAAAGCCGACCACATATTTTCTTTTGTCTTACTTCTTTAGATTTTCTTTTATCTTATTTCATCTCGATTCTTTCTTCATACATTTTTCTTCTCTCTTCCTTTTTTGCTACTTTTTATATCTTCTCTCATCTTTTTTCTTTCTAATCATACCAGTTTATCAATGATTTATAGATGAAAATTCCAGCAATTTATTATACTCGAAATAGAAAACAATAAAATAAAATATTCGATATTTGCGAATAGATATTTATAAAAAATAGCATTATTTAAAGATTTTTTATTACTTGAAAATTATGTGCGAAGTTTGAGAGCTTTAGAAAGTAGAGACTGCAACCGAATATGATAGTGGTAAGCATGGCCAGAACTTCTAGGCCTATCACTATGAACTTCTCGAGATGGTATAGATTCTAGCCAATATGCCTTCTTAGTATCGAGTTACTTATGATCAAAATAAATGTAAATTAGAATCCCGATACTTGAAATATTCAATTTCTTCGCTCGTTTTGATTATAATTAATCTCTAGTGAAAAGGTCGATCTTCAAATAATTTGATTATCCAAAAACTCAATCATATATTTTTCGAAGATATGCTCTACGTAATTATAGATTCAGAACATTGCAAAGCGTCCTTCCTTTTATTATGAAATCCATTTAACTTTAGCCACAAACTTTATAAAATTTAATGACAATAATTAAATAGTGATTTATATAAATCTTTATTATTTTTATAAAAATTGTAGAAAGCATCTTTGTATATTTTATGATTTTAATATTTTATTAAATAATTAAACACGATGTTACGTTTATAAAAAATATATTTGCTTGAATAACATAGCTATATCCAAAATATAAGAGAAGACAAAAAATACATTAAAAATACAAAAAGTATTTATTAAAGAGAGACTAAATATAATTTATATATATATAATTTTGTTTATATTTGTTATATATGTTTTCGAACATAAAATATTTAAATTCCTCTTAAGCGTGAGTTTCTTGCAAACATAAGGCTTTTAAATAAAAATTTAGTTGAAAAGGTTATCTTTATGGATGAAAACAAGAATTTTTATACCAATTTTAATATTTTATAAATCGATCACACCCTCTCACTCATTGTTAGATAGACTTGATATATATTATATTTTTTATATTTTCTCAAACTAATTGATTTAATAATCGTTTCTATAATATTATACAAGTTACCCATGTCCTGATTCAAATGCCCCGGTCCTAAGATCGTATTAAATTAAACATTGACCTTGCCAATTTAAAAGAATGGATTTAATAAATATCAATTCAATAACTGGAAAATCATATAGTAGAGGGTTTAAAATTTTTTTCGGATCTTATTTTACAAATTTATAAAAATACAAAGAAAATTTTTCATAGTAATGATCATATACAAATTTACAGGCCGAGGTCATAATGTTGTTATCTGTCAAATCACGATATTTTTAAAATATTTCTTGAGATAATGATTTGAACGTATTTATAGATAAATAAACCAAAAATGAACATTTTCCGAATAATATTACTATCAAAATTGGTCGATCGAATATTTAATAAGTGGTCGGTTTTGAGCTCGCCATTCGGTCAAATCTTAATATTCTCAAAAAATCATTTAGGATAATGCTTAACACCTTATTGTTCACTTATAAACCAAAAATGAAGAATTTTCCATGGAGAGCGCTAGCAACGCAGTACGGTTTCAAATCACAATATTTTTAAAATATATTTTGTGATAATGATTTACACGTATATATAGATAAATAAACCAAAAATGATCATTTTCCAAATAATATTAATACCAAATTTTTCGATCGAATATTTAGTAAGTGGTCGGTTTTGAGCTCGGCATTCGGTCAAATCATAATTTTTTCAAAATATTTTTTAGGATAATGCTTAACACCTAAATATACACGTATAAACCAAAAATGAAGAGATTTTGATCAATAACACCAGCAATATGTTCCTTACAAACTTTCTACTATTTTTCGATTCTAAACCTACTCATTAATTAAATGTCAAAGATACCTGTATTTTTTAAATTTTTTTTAGGTTTTTCACATGTATTTACACCCAAATACAAAAAGAGCGCTATCCAATATTTATTCTGGCTTCCTAAGAATATATTTTCATATTTATGCATTTAACGCCCTCTTATGGACATAAATTTGTTAAATTTTGTAATTGAAAAATAAAATATAAGTTGTAATAAGCTAATAAATATATTTTTTTTCCAATAATATTAAGTAAAAATAGAATTTTAAATTATTTGAAATTTAATATCAATTTTTTACTTAATTAAAAATTGATTTATGTAAAATAAAAAAAAAATATATTATATAATCAAATTTTGATTGATTATGATTAATTTCTTTTTAGCAATGCATTTTAACAATGCAGTTTATCAACGCAGTATTTAGTCATTCCCGTATATAAGATCTTCGCGAATGTTATACTAAATAGGTTAAGACCGATAGTGGAACCATATTTTGTTGATTCATTGGTCTCGTTTGGTCGAAATGCACTAGAGTTCTATCAATAAAAATTCAGTTAGAGAGAGCGGGAAAAGATAGTTATTAATTGTTGCCCTGGATTTCAAAAAAGCTTTTGACTCAATAATACTTTCCAAACTATGGAAGACTTTAGAGGAGGTAGGTAGTCCTTCTGCTTTGATAAGCTTGATGAAATTAATTTATAAAGATTATTCAATGCAAATTATTCATCCTGGGAAAAATTTTTCTAAAATTCCGATAAATATTGGTTTGAAGCAAGGATGCGTTCTATCGCCTCTTCTATTTAACTTTATTGCCAATCATATCATTATAAAAGTCAGAGATTTACATTTAGCTCAGTGGTCTTCTGGGAAATTAAACATTATAGCTTTTGCTGACGATTCATGCTTCGTTGGTGAATCGGTGTTGGTTATTCAATTAGTCATTAATTATATCATCATAGAGCAGGATATTTTGGTTTAATATTTAATATAAACAAAACGAAAATGATGATGTCTTTTTATACTCCTCCACATGTAACCTTAAAAATAGAAAGAAAAAAGATCACTGAAGTGTCTATTTTAAAATATTTAGGTGTATTGCTTGATAAGAAAGGTTTACAAAACAGGATCAGTAGGCTAAATTAAACAAATCCAGAGCAAAGTACAGGTCCTTGTCGAAAATTTGGACATCACGACAACTATCTATTCCCTTGAAGATTAGATTATTTAAAGTTCTAATAATGGCTTCCCTCTATTATGGTGTGGAAACTTGGAAGGATTTCAATTTAGATAATAGCAAGACGCAGACATTTATAAATAAATGTCTAAGATATATTATCAAGACCTTTTACCCACTAAATACTACTAATTCTATGTTGTAAGCTAGATGCGATATCCTTCCTCTCCATAAAATGATCGAATATAGGAAAATTGAGATGGTTGGTAATATATTAAGATATCTCCTCTAACAACTTAATCCATCAGGCACCTATAAACAAATCCCCGGAAGAGACTGCTCTTAAGTCTTTCTTATCTTATAAAGGCAGTTGGTTTGGCAGAATTATAAGGTCCTTGGGGAAATAGATCTATCTTGGGAATTTTTAAAAAGGGCGGATAAGAAAATCTTCATATATATTCTGAGACTTATTTACGAGCATATGACAAATAACTGCTAAACAAGGTAAAATTAATAAACTATATTCATTACCAACTATTTTAAATTATTAAGACAAGCTATTTTCTAGAAAAGGAGGTTCTTTAAAGGGAATTTCTATTATGATTTATATTGAATTAACTAATCATAACGTATCTTAATCGTATTTTAATTACTAGGCTATATTTATTTATTTGATATGTCTTACATGTAAATATAAATTACTATTTTATTATAGTTATGACTTATTATAATTTGTGAATGAATTGTCGTATTTTCTAAAATAACTACTTACTGATTAAACTTATATATTTTAAATTTAAAGTAATAATTTAAATTTAATCAATCGTGATTTTTTAGTAATAAATTAAATTTAAGCAATCGCGTTATTCAATTGGATATCTGTAAATATTTAATCATCAGGAGATACAATTGGTAACCACTTGGGCAAATATCATAAAATGCTATTTACCCCCTCTGTGGGTATCCATCCTCTGCCTTTAAATATTTCCTTGAGCTGCAGATTCCTTAAATTGGGATATTATCGAGATGATATTCAGCATGAAAAATAAAACTTCAACATTTTATATAACTCTTACTACACTACCAATTATTGGATATGGGATTTATTATTTCTATATGCGTAAAAAGAAAAACATATTTTTGCAGGACCCTAATATAAAATATATTGCATATTTAAAATCTATAGATGAAGTTAGTCATGATACTAAAAAGTAAACAATATCGTTTTTAATTGACAAATTTATCTAATAACAGGTTTAAATTTGGACTCCCCACAAATAGCCATGTTTTAGGCCTACCTACAGGGCAACACTTATATTTAAATGCAGATATTGATGGGAAAAAAGTAATCAGACCATATACTCCTATATCTCTTGAAGATTCCAAAGGGTTTTTTGATCTTGTTATAAAGGTTTCTAATATATTTGTTATATATAAAAATTATCCATACTTATAATAAAAGGTATAAAAACTTAGGTCCAAGCCAAATTTTGCAGATACATGTGCCTCAAGTGGCCTCAAATTATGTAGAGGCCCCATTAATATTTTGTCGTGTATAGGGGGAAAGATTTTTTGCTATGCTTTTGTTGATAATTTATATCATTTAAGAAGTTTTATAAACTTGTAGCGTATATTATCTGTTGATATCCATTGATTATTTTAAAAAGGAGAGAATTAAGAGATTTTTTTATTAGGGTTCAGCTGATATTAAGTATTGAATCAAGTCAATATTTTATGAAAAACCCTAAAAATATGATTTTTTTTGTTAAAAATAATTAATGAATAAAATTAGCTGATTTGGGAAATAAAAATAAAACAAAATATACTTAAATGATAATGTCATGTCCTTATCTTTGGTCCAGACCAGATAATTAGACCCTAATAAAATTATAAATATAATAATTTGATATTAACCATCATATAAGGATCATCAACAACTGGATAAAAGAAATCAGTTGTTTGGACCAATAAAAGCCCATGATGTCTAGAAAGGGGAGTAACACTCATCAAAACCAATGCCTATTAATTATAATTAAAATAATAATAAGCATACAGTGAATGAATGGTAATCAACCTAATTCTACAATTTCAATTGTAATTCAACCTCCGTTTGACCCGGTTTCATTAGGTTTACATCCTACTTTCAAACTTACAAAGTTTGCAGAGTTAAAAGAATGAGGGTGTAAAGTTCCTCAGGAGACACTTGATAAGCTACTTGAGGGACTAATATCTAATGAACCTGATAACATGGAACAATTATACATGCAATTAAATCTACCAAAATCATTTAAGAATCAGGCCAGCTACATGTTGGGGCAGAATTTGCATATCTCTAGCTTTCACTTTTTTTATTCTACTTTATAAAAAAATTTAATATATTTTTTATACAACTAATTTAAGTCCATAAAATTCATATTTTAAATTCAAACATTTAAAAATATTGATATAAAAATATGTATTATTTATTTTATTGCATATAAAATCATTCTTTTTTAGTGTATTGTTAGTAGTAATAGAAATATAAGTCAATTAATAATTCTTGCTATTGTTAGTAATAATAGAAATACAATTAATAATTTTTGCAATTCTTTTTCTTTTATTCCATATAAAAAATAATATGTTCTTTTTCTATTATTATAATAATGATAATAAACATTTTACAAAAAATATAAAAATAACAATTCAATACATATCATTTATCCAATCTATTTGGTTTTGTTCGTACTCTTTTCGGATACGATCTTGACTTTTATATTCTTCCTTCCTCTCCTTTAGATTCAATTTATCGTTATTTAGACCAAATATTCTAACAGAGGAACAAAAAGGAGAAGTTAGAATACTACACTCAAAAATTCTGGATTATATTTCCACCAAAAAATAATCCAACCCAAACTATCAAAGAAAGAATCGAAAACTTGAAAAATTAACACCACATATCAACGATCCTCCTAAAAAGCCTTCAAGCAACCCCTCACACAGACTAATATATAATAAGATTAATAATTTCAATCTAAAAGGAGCCCTCTGAGCTCTTGCTAAACAAACACTTTGTCACCCGATAACATCACCACGAAACCAACTTTTAGAAAAACATCTAGGCGCGTACGCAGGAATTTGGTCTGGGGGGGGGATAATAATTTTTTTTGAGAAATATTATTGTTTTTTAAAAATATCAAGCATAAATTTATTAGGACTAATAACTATTCCTAATACACAATTAAATTAATGTGAATTATAAAAAAATTATGTGTAAAGAATCACTTAAATGACCCAAAATAGAAATTTGAATTTTTTGAGCCTTTACACAAAAAGTTTCTTAGGAATAATTGTATTTTGTATGTTATATATTTACAATGTAAAATCCAATCTTCGTTGGAATTGAGCTAATTTTCAATTATCTCATCCTTGCTTGTCATCAAATGCTTATGAATATTCAAAAAATCCAAACCTTTCAATCTACTTTCACATGTTGTACTTCTTGGTATGTTTTTCAGAGACCTGCAGGCCCGGCTCCTGGGCCGGACAAAATTTTAATTTTTTAATTATACCAAGACCGGGCCCAAAATTTTTTTTAAAAAACACCCGGGCCGGACCTAAATTTTTTTAAAAAAACACCCAAGCCGGGCTGTATTTTTTAAAACAGCCTATATTTGAAATCGTTATTATTAGCTATAAAAATCAAAAATAAATATAATTTATTTTTAAAAAATCCAGGCCGGGCCTGAAAATTTTATTTTAAAAAAAGCCGAGCCGAGCCTGTAAATTTAAAAAAAAAGCCGAGCAGCCTAAAATTTTTTTTAAAAATAGCGTAAAAAACTTAAAAAAAAATCCGGGCCGTGCCCTGCAAATGGTACTTCTGCAGGCCTCTGTTATTCTTCTTAAAAAAGAGAGTGTTCTCTCATTAGTTTACTAATGGGAAGAGTTTATAAACCCTTTTAATACATTGGGAATTTAATCTAAGATGTGTTTGAAATAATGCAGAGCATCCATAGCATTTTTTGGGACTATATCAACCATTGTTAATCTTATAAACATAGTTATTCAGCTAGTGTAAGGCATCATAAGATACTTTAACATCTTCATTATAAAAATCTAACAAATATATTTTTTTTTCTATCACCATCTGAAAAAGGTTGGGAAGGCTTTTGTGGAAGTAATATTTGCAGATGTAAGTGCTGCATGATATATTAAAAATTCATTTATTTGGTTTATAAATGTATCTGCATCTAAGATAAACTCTTCTACTGATCATATATTAATGTTTTAACGATGAGCTTGCCTTGCTGTCGAGGGAGACAAATATTAAACATGTATAGCTCTGCTTTTGACTCAACAATAAAATATAAAATATGAAATTCTTCATCAACATTAGCCCTAATTTCCTTGAGTTCTGATAAAATGCTCTCCGCTATTCTCATCTTCTTAATCAAATCATTGTCATGTTTTTTAAAAGTAATACTTAAAATTGTTGTATAATTAAATAATACATTCTAATGAGAAATAAAATTTGGAATAAGCATTGAATCCAATAATTTTCTTGCTTCTGAGGAAATATTTCTTTCAGGCCATTGTAATATTTCAGTAATAGCAAATAATTGGCTCTTCTAACTCCTTAATAGCTGTTAGTGCTTGATGGAAGAGGCTCTATCTCGTTGGACAAGGTTGCAATTTCTTTTTCCCTGTTGGGCCAGAAGTTTCAGAAATAATTATTATTTGACTAGAAATTTGAAAATGGTAGATAAATATTACGCCACTAAAAATTTGAAAATAATAAGTAAATATTACGCCGGAAAACTTGAAATCGAAATTAATTGATAAAATAACTTATGAATGTGATTATAAATGTAATATAATATATATTTAATATGAGATACGAAATATTAACAAATATAAATTAATATAAACAAAAATATTTTTGATAAATATATCCGGCATCTGCATTTTTTGGCTTTGGGGGGGGGATTTGTCCCCCTGCCCCCCCCTCCGCTGCGTACGCCAATGAAAACATCCGAACCCTAAATACACTCCTCAAATACTGCCTATAATAAATTCAAAGATAAATATCACTCCCGAAGTAGCCTTAATCGCTATTAAAAATTTTCCAAACAATTCTGCTCTAGGACTGGATTACATTCGACCTTCATTTATTACCGACCTCTTGGATTTAGACAGTTCCGAATTTTTACTTAATTCTTTAACAAAAATTTTTAATCTTATTATCAGTGGGAAATTACCACATAAACTTCTCCCAATAACTTTTAATGCTCGACCAATTGCCTTAGAAAAGCTGAAAATCAAGTGCGCCCAACAGCTATTGGAATTTTCTACCGACGAACCATTTCAAAAATTATTTGTAATCGAATTAAATCTACAATAACCTTAAACTTAGCTCTTTACCAAGTTGGATTGGGAGAAAAAGTAGGCTGTGAAGCCGCAATACATTGCAGTCGACTAGTTTTATCCAATCTCAAACCTGAAGATTTTATAGCAAAACGACATATCCAATGCCTTTAATTCAATTAATAGGAATAAAATGATCGATACTTTCTTGGAAACATTCCCTGACTACCACAATTACATCCATCTTAGCTATTGCAATCCTTCCTTACTCAGATTTAATGATTATATTATTAATTCTGCAGAAGGCCTCCAACAGGGTGACCTATTAGGACCACCACTTTTTTGCTATACCCTTAAACACCTAATAAGTGATATTCTCTCTCATGCAAACTCAATCTATACGTTTGGTATCTTGATGATTGTACTATTTCGGGGACCATTTCTTCAATCCAGAATTGTCTGGATATAATTAACGAACACTTTGATGAACTTAATTTATTCTTATAAAAAAATGCGAAATTTATCCTTCTCCACTTCCAACATACACCATATTAGATAACTAGACGCACACCTTTACAAGATCAGTATATTAGGAGCCCCATTGGGAGGTGCAAAGGGAGTTTTTAATTTTTTTAATAATCACCTTCAATCACTATTCCCTAAACTATCGATCTTAAAAAAATTACCCATCAATCAAGCATATTTCATTCTCAAAAACGCCATTTTAATACCACAAATCTAGTATTGTTTAAAAACTTCTTGTGCCTTCTCTTTTGAAATTCTTTTATACGAATATACAAATGATGACAGAGTTATTAAACATCAAACTCGATTCTAACTCATGGCTTCAGGCAACTCTCTCTTGTAAATTTGGAAGAATAGGCCTAAGATCGGCATTAAGTATAGCCCTTGTTTTCTTCATATCATCAACCATATCAGTAAAAAATATTACCTCGCAAATTATTACCATGGATAAAGATAATTTATTAGATGAAGCTTTACATTGTTGGAATATTAATGTTTTACCATACACAGCCCCACCAGATTCAACGAAACAAAAAGATTGGGATC